GACATGCGCAGAGCGATAGTTGAACGAAAGATGAAGGACGTTAGGCGAAGAGCGAGAGGTAAAGGGCGACACGTGAAGGGAGACAATTGAGAAGCGACTGGCGAAGAATGACAAACGAGAAACTTTGGATATTAAGCAAAAGTCAAAGGGCGACGAGAGAATGAGGAAAGCTTATCCCCTTTACGTTTGCCCCCCCCTCTCCAATCGTTCCCCCACTCATGTTAAAGGGGAACGACCGGACGGAGTGCTGAGCTGCAACAGCTAACGTTTCTTAGCCCATTTATAAGCGTTGTTAAGGGGGAGGAATCAAGGAGAAAGGGTAATCTCACCAATTATGTAGTATGTTGGAGAATCCTTTTTTTTTTGTGGATGAATATTGTCTCATTACAAAAGCTCTTTTGAAAATATTTCATTTGAAATTCTCGAATGTCGGATGGTGGCAGCCAGTTTGCAGACGACTTGATAAACAAATGTAGGAAACATTTAGGTTTGAAGTTAATAATGTTAATATAGAATAACATTAAAATTGAAAATAACTTAAAACTGGTTTTTTTTCGGCAAGATTAAGCATACCTGTGACTAGTACTTATGTAGACTCCTCTATATTTCACCAACTTGTGGCACTTCATTTTGAGAGGCATGAAAATTATTTTCTCATACCCCCTTATTTTGGTTTGTCGCGCTTACGTCGTAAGAAGAGAATGTTATGCAATCATGCGCCATGAAACGGCAAATTTTCTACAGAAAAACTCTTATTGCCGAGCGCTGGAAACGAAAAGTGGATAAATCCTGTGCTATGTATAGTACATTCTTACACGTGGTGTACCTAGAATCCATGTTTTGTAGGTCCTCGATACCGAAAATCGATTGATGGCTTAGTCCGTCTGTGATGACATCTGTCTGTCCGTCTTTGGCGAACGCTAGCCACTATACGGTTCAGCCGATTTTCTCCAACATGATATTCCTTGATTGATCTGTACGACCGCAAAACACTCAGAGTTTCAAATGGATATTTTGATGTTTGAGGGTACTGAACTAGAAGTCTCAAAAGTATGTTCAACATTTTCTCAAAAGTACCTCCAATTTTTATTAAACTTCGTTCTCGAATAACATAAAGGATACCTAAGAGAATGTTGTAGGCCTCGTGTTCGTTCAAATCTCATATTTTTCGAAAATTCCAAAAGTGCAGTTCTTTGGGTGTCTACGAACAACTACAATAGTGAAGAAAACATTTTTCCATCATAAAATCTGTTCTTTAAAGGCATCTTGAACTTTTCGAAAGTATGAGAAGTTTCTGAGTAATTGTCCGCGAAACATAGACAGTTTTAATTTTTTTGGAAACATTTTTTTTCTCAAAAACCGCTCCAATTTGTTTCTTTAATTTTCTCTTTGAATCAAGGGTCGGTAGAGAGTGAAGTGGTGGTAGTCCCATTTTCGGCATACTTTCAGTTTTTTACAGAGTTGCATGAAGTTAACACTTCAAAACTATAAAATTCAAGTTAGAGATTTTTGGTTTTGACAAAGTCTGTTATAAAAAATTAGTGCTTGTAAAAAGTTCTTGATCTATTTTTTGAAGAAACGACTTGATGTCGCGTAATTTGTACTTGGAATTCATGCAATTTCTGCAAAATGTTTTCTAAAAAACCTCACTCGTTTATTTTCTTTATTTTTTCCCACGGTTAGAAGTGGCGATTAAAAGAACAGCATCTTTTTATTTTTGTTGAACTCTCTGAATTCTCGAAAATTGCAAATTTGAAAACAATAATTCTCGAGTTTATGCTGTTGTTTACATATGACTTGAACTGATACACTTTAAATTGATAATTAAACAACTAAAACTGTTTTACTGTTCTATACTCATGATCAACACAGTTTGTTTTTTCTAAGAAGCGTTTAGGATCAAATGCAATTCAACGAAGAACGTAGAATAATTTTAAAATTATTCGTTCATACTAAGTATTTTTATTCAAGACGATATATCAGAGGTCAGTTTGTATATATAGTATGTGTAGTACAATTTATTGTGACAGTCCCTAACGAAACTGCGCCAAATGGGAAAGTTTAATTCAAAACTAGTACAATGCAAAATAAAAAGCGGCAATGTCCTGTTCGTTCGTCTTGAAGCGCTCGGTGAGCTGAATGTAATCTTCGAACTACGAAGGACAGGATCTAGGTCGTTTAGACAACTCCTGTGATAAATTCGATGCATTTTATCAACGTCAGGGGGGTTCCGAGATCAACGGCACGAAAATCCGGTGTGATGAATAGCCTCTAGGTCACGCAGTGGTTCAGGGACGTGGGTCACGATCCGGCACATCGCCAACGTTCCTTGCTGCACTAATCGTTGCAACGCACGGGTTATGTTCACGCAATGCAGGCACGTCAAACAGCGTCAAACAGGTGTAACTGTTAGCGTATCGGACTGTTATACCCAAGTTGTCGGGTTCAAACCCGATCGAAGCCGTGAATTTTGAAGGAGGAAAAAGTCCTTCGTACGCCTTCCTTCATACGACTTCCTTCGGAGGGGAAGTAAAGCCGGCTGTCCCATGTTAGTAGATTTACTTGCATGTAAAAGATCCTCAAGCATAAATAACGCCTCTGAGCTAAATTCAAATACCCTGTTTCTCGTCCAAGAAATACCTCCTTTCTCTGTTAGTTGGTGAAAGGAGCGTAGCGAAATTTGCGTGGTCAGACGGGAGAGCGAGCCTCATGGCCTGAGTCTCGCCACGTAAAATAAGGCATTAATTCAATTCAATTTAATTCAATTCAATTCGTCCGCACGAGCTACTTGCCCTTCTGGGGAGCCTGACGCTCCCACGGGCACGGACATCTTTCCTTGATTTTGAGCTCATTTCCCATTAACATCCAGAAAGGGGTGTACGTGTGCAAGCTAAAGCGGCGCGTGGCGGCTATTAGTGGCTTCATACGAAAATATGTTTGCCAGATTTTTTCTACCAAATGAATGGGAATTGTATTATGTTAAAATTTGTCCCTACTTATTATTATTTGATGTTTATTTTCTTACTAAATTCACCCTTTCATAAACATTTTTTCTGAGTGACAGGAATACGTTTCAATGACGAGTTCTTTCCTTGTTTTTGTTTTGTGTTGTATAATTAAATAATTCAGTTATTTATTGTATGTAGCAATAATGTGAAATAAATTAATAAGTCCCTATACGTTAACTATTTTTGCTTACGGACGGACAGGACAAGAATAATTGTCTGTTAAACAGCATTACAAAATCCAGAAATTATTGATTCAATTGTTTTTAATTTTACTCTCAATTGAAAATTTGAAATCTGAGTGATTCGTTTTAATGCATCATTTCATTGCCTTAAAGAGAAAATAGGAATTAACATAGGCCAATTTGTGACAATAATTGACAAGTAATTTCTCCAAAGACGGCCATGAGCCAGGTGTCAATGACGTACCAGCCGGTACCAGGGGTAAGGTACTATACCTTTGCTACGTAGCATTTGTACAACCCTTACTTTTACATCTCACGCCAATTTCTCTGGACGCAGTGTCCACTTTGTTACCCTACCCGCCACCTTGACATGCCTGACCAATTGCGACGTGCCGTGGATGTAAAATTAAATTTGCAAAGTAACAACGTTTATAGGTTTTATATTTATAGCTAAAATGATGGGAAGCGATTCTGGAACTCAAAAAAATGCGCAGATGATCATCTCCCCCATACGTCGCATAGTGTTTAGTGTTTTTTACTCAATAAATCTAAATCTAGACCTTGTGGGACGCCACGTGGGCTGTTCGTTGTAAGGGAGCGTGGAGGAGCCGACTCCGGGGTTCGCCACCGGATGCGATCGATGGCCGTCGTGGCACCACGCGATTGATCGTCACCGTCGGTAGGGCGACGTTGCCCGCCGCGAGGCCTGTTACTGGCTATTTAAATTTAAATGACGGTGACTGGTGAATGGTCGACCCAGGTGACGAGGATGGTGGCGTGGTGTAGCGCTGTCTGCCCCTGGCGGCAAAATTTCTTAATAGTAAATAATAATAATAATAATAATAATAATAATAATAATAATAATATCTTGTAAAAAATTGGACCATTATATTTTTGTCGTACCAACGATTCGGACCTGTAGAAATGGGCACGGCATCTTTCATTACTTATTCCATGACCACTTCATTAAATGAATGTACATTAACTACATTATGCTCATTGTAACGACTGGCATCGTCTGTACCGACTTATTATACGTAGGGATTATCAGTTTTTATTTTGTGCTCGGATTGTTTGTGATTGATAATCAGCAGGTTTGACTTCTATAATATAAAGATTAAAAATATTGTATAATCACAAGTGAAAATTAGATTACATTCCGAATAATTCCCTTCATGGAAGTCCGTGAGTGGCGATTCGACAATTTAAAGAAACTTTCATTGATGAAACGTCAGTTGTAAAACTCACATTAACTTAATCGTATGTATGCGCTTTCCAAACAGTGTTTTTAGTGCTCATAAGTGCGTATAGTGATTGTTAAATTATTGAGCTTTGATGTAAAGTATTCGTGTACGTATACATTCGACTATATATTTAATATTTTATTCGCGTTTATTATTTTTTTGTCATACTCTATTCTGGAGAGAGATTAACGTGTGTCAATTTAGGTATCACTTTTTTAGCTGTATCCCGTCGTAAGACAAGGTTGTTAAGCCTTTAATAACGAATTATGAGGTGATAAGATAGTGATGAGAGGTTATCGTGGCCTATTTTAACCATCCCAGCATTCGTCTGAATGACCGAAGGAAACCTCGAAAAAACCCGATCAGGATAGCCCGGGGGTATCGAACTCGGGACTGCGAAGTCAGAACGCCACTTCGCTTGGTATATTACTATTATTATTATTATTATTATTATTATTATTATTATTATTATTATTATTATTATTATTATAAAGGAAAGTGTTCGTCATTGAACCAGTATAAATACGAATATCTCCTAACTGTGAAACTTGGCTGCGTGCTCGCAGGGGGCCACGACCACGGCGCAGAGGACAGCCACGCGCCGGGCGACGGCAACGCCACTCACCCCGAAGCGCTGCACCACCACAGCGCCTAGGCCGTTCGGCTGCTCGGCCGCGCCTCCACTTGTCTTCCACTGGCTCCGCGGCGCCCTCTCTGCGCGGGGCCCCGGCGGCGCCCTCGATCCTTCCGCCCCAGCGGGCGATACCCCTCACAGACTCCACATCAACGTCCAAGAGCAGTGCACCAAGCTGGACGTCCGCTTCCTGGAAGCCTACTGCGCAGGAGCTGGAACTCAGGAGCTTGAGCTTAGAAGCTTGAACGCAGGAGCTGGAGCTCAGGAGCTGGAGCTCAGGAGCTGGAGCTCAGGAGCTAGAGCTCAGGAGCTGGAGCTCAGGAGCTGGAGCTCAGGAGCTGGAGCTCAGGAGCTGGAGCTCAGGAGCTGGAGCTCAGGTGCTGGAGCCCAGGTGCTGGAGCCCAGGTGCTGGAGCTCAAGAGCTTGAGCTCAGGAGCTGGAGCTCAGGAGCTTCAGCTCAGGAGCGTGATACGTTCGGGCATTGCAGTGGTATTTACCATCGTTACTCTCGCAGCGAAAGGCAGTGCGTCGAGTTGGTCCTTATATGTTTCCGGTTCGGTGGTTGGGTTCCATGCGGTGCGAAGTGGCTGTTTGTTGCTTCAGCTAACGTCTGCGTTTTTTCGTTCGGCTCTACCCGTCCCCAGCTCACTGTATTGTGGAAGCTGCTCAACGAATTATCATATCGTTGCATTCACGCCAAGCCGCAATATTGATTTCGACGAGTTGGCTATTGTCATCCTCCCAGCCAATCGGGTAGAAGAGCAGAGTGTACGTCGCAATTGCACCGGGAAGTGGCATGAGCATGGAAGTTGCTAACATCCATCTAGCAGCCAACTGCAGTGTGAAGAGCTGGTTCTTCGATTCATCCCTGTCAACAGGATCCGAGAGCTGGCTCCAAACGTTTAGTTAGAAGCAGTAACAGCTCCGGCATAGTAGTCGCCATCATTACCCTTGCAGCCAATGACAGTGCGTAGAGTTCGATTTTCGACAGTCATAACAAACGGTTCAGAGAACATCTTGGCTGTAGCTCTACTGGACACCGGCGTTCGCAGCTCGAGCCTGGGAGTCGTCTTCCTCATTCTTGCTCCGAGACAGAGCGTCGAGTTGGGCCTACCATCTCTTCCAGTTATCCAGAACGGAGACTAGGCTCCAGGCGTTGCCAGAAAGGCGTTTGCAGCTCCAGCTGGAAGTCTTGATTCGCGTTCCTGCATAATTCCCTCGTCTCTTCCTGCCTCCAAGCCAACTGATCGGTACAAGCTGCTCGTCGAATTCTCACAACATTGCGTACGTGCTAAGCCACTCTATCTTCGCAGTTCCAGCATGGAAGTAGCGATCGGTGTTTCATCAGCCAATGAGAATTTCGGTGTTTCGATGAGATTTGACGTATTGCAGAGGGAGATCTTTTCAAAATTGCCAAACTTTTAATTTTGGTGGGTTGCTTACACAGGTATAGCCCTTATCAGACCTACGAAAGGCAAACTGATTGCTGTCTCTGTGCAAATATAATATGCCATCTACACGTATATGTGATTACAATCACCATTTACAGGGATCACATTATGATCTCGACCGATAATTTTCGCATATTCGATAATTTTCTGCATTACATATTTGTGAATCACATTTTAATCTCATAATTTCAATGTTGTTTTGATTTTTCACAAAGATCAATTCTGATTTTATCAGCACATTGAAGGCGGCTCATGAATGAGGAAAACAATCTTCCTTCCTAATGAAATATTTTAGCCCAGTAGATAGACCGACCAGAGACGACTGAATTGTGTGTGAAAGAGGGGTTTGTACTGTGGTTTTTGACGCATCGTATTATGATGCACATAATGTCATGATTAAGAGAATCTGAATACGGTATATATTAATTTCCATGATATTTTATTTTTATTCAAGTACTGGACGCTCTAAAGATTTGAATGTGCTTTTAGAAATTTGATCTCTGTTAGTTATCGCATAAGTTTTAGTGGGTTTTCTGTATTGCTTTGTTTATTAACATTTTTAATATATCGCTTAGCACACTAAGTTACATTTCTGCACAACAATCTTGTTTAATATTTTTATTCACCACTTTCCCTTCTCATTCACACACACACACACACACACACACGCGCGCGCGCACGCGCGCACACACACACACGCGCACGCGCGCACACACACACACGCACACACACACGCACACACACACACGCACACGCACACACGCACACGCACACACACACACACACACACATGTACAATATATATTAAAACGGGCAGATGAGTATTCAGGCTAGCAGATCGAGAGCTGTCATTGGCTGTTGAGCGCCGATCGCCATTAACCTGGGAGTTTCGCGAATTTCGCCGCCGAGGTTCCCGCCTTTACGCCGCCAGCAGTTGACGGGAAATCTCTCCTGTCATAATTCACTGACGCAGCCTCTCTTCCAAGCCAAGCAAGTTGACTGATGTCGCCGCACGTTGTCACCTCAATGTTCTGCGCTAAGTCATAAACCTGGCATTGGCTCTTTAATCGTCAGGAATATATCCAGTGTCTTAGCTGATAGGATGCGTACGTAGCGCATCTTCAGCTTAGTGTGGTGGTTTTGTTCTTTGAATATTGTGTTCACTCCACCCTTTCCCCGTTTCCCAGTCCCCAAACGACTGCACTTCACCCGTCTTTACCATTACGTATAAACTGTTCACGTTTGTACAGCTGTAGAATAGGATTTATAAAATTTTATAAATTATGTTAGCTTCTGTGACAAAGAAGCCCGAGAAGTGTTTTGGTGTGTTATTGCGGAAGAAGAGATCGACGTGGCGCCCATTTGTATTGAGAGTACTTCCAGTGTGATGGAAGAAACAAACGAACAAACGAGTGAAATATAATTCTCATGTAGACATCGAGCGACCTCGTACCTGAAAGTGAAGTCTATTGTTCCAGAGCTAGAATTACGCTAACAAAGTGTAAAATAAAAATAAAACATTTCAGTTCATTTGTGTTTTTATGTCAGTTTATTTGCTGAACGAAATGTAATCCATCATTACTCCCCATACAAAAAACCTCTTTGTATATATGTTTTTGGTAACTTACATTTAATATCCGTACTGTCTAGCGGCAAATTTTATTCCAGTAAGTTAAGAATTTCAACTATTCATAGGCGACTAAAAATATTTTATAATTGGCGTGAAAATAGTAATTGAATGGTACTGAGAATTGACTTTTCTGATTCCTTGTTCTAATAGGATGTAGGTAAATCTTCAATATTAGGCAATATATTAGAATAATATTCAGCATTATTCCTAAATTACTTTTTAATTAAAATTTCGTGTCTGAAGAGATAATACGAGAATCAGTGTGTGTTGTATTTAAAAATCTCGAAATGTTTTGTTTGTAAAGTTTCCTTAATATTGCAACTTCATTATTGGAAAATTTCACATCTCTTTCTTATTAATCACAAACGTTTTAATTACACATAAATAATACATACCTCCACATCATCTAAACAGAATCATAAAGTAAAATTTACAAGATGTCATGTAGATGGTTGCTATCGGATATAGTTGATTTGAAGTATTGCTTTTGAAGTATTCCAGATACAAAATGGATTGTAGTCCTTGTAGAAACTGTTCGTACCATTCAATAACCAATTAAGAAATGCCTCTAATCCGTTTATAATTATGCTGCCTCAAAAACTGCTTTTGAACTCTTCTATTCTCAGAAACCTTACAGCATCTAGACGTCCCTTTTGAAATATTACCTAATATGTCGAACCGCGACCAGAAGTTAACCCCCATTATTTTAAGACCATATACACACCAGACCCTCAAAACCTATTTCTGTGTAATGCTAACGTATCAACACGGATTTGTGTTTTTATCTATTTAAAGATTGAGTTTGTAATATCGACAAAGAATGAGAATAATTCTAATTTTTGGTTGAGAAAGGGAAACTTCATAAAACAAAAAATATTTTTAAAAACATATTTGTCATTTTCTATTTCTTTTATTACATGAAACATTGTATGCCTCTTCATGTGAGGGAGTGGGTACAATATTGCAAGTCAAATGGGAGATAAATATAGTTTAAAAACTCTTTATTGTTACAGTATTCACAAAAACACACATTGTCGGTACACAAGAGAAGTAACACATTTTGAAAACAAATTTTACAGTTCGGTTTTATTCTGAGCAGAGCCATTTCTTTTACATCCAAGAACAATGTGTTTTACTCTAAAACCGTCTGTTTTGTGAAAATGTCATGAAATATTATTAGTAAAAATACACAATTTTTGGAACACTTTTCCCCGATCAAATAAAAATGACGGATTTTAATATAACCACTATTCTTGACACCGATGCGTTTTTTTATTTATTTTTTGAAGAAAACCCCCTCCGTCTCCCAACCTTAGCATTCAAGTTCCGAGAAGTGAGTGATCTGAAGAATATTATATGAGGTTTGAAAATCACTACAGAATTGAAATTGTTTGCTGAAAAATGTTCATATATTGCACTTTAATTACTAATCTCTCACTTAAACTACGGAGTTCAGGAACTAAAACTTAGAACTGTTGCTAAAAGTTTGAACCTTTTGGTGCCTTGTAGCAAATATGAACAGCAAATGACACAAAAAGTGCAGTAAACTATTTATTTTCTAATAGTATGTGTTCTAACACTATTTTGATGATTTTGAATCTACATTTGTAATTAGCCACAAATATTTCTCAGGTTCATTTAAGTTGACAATGTCTTCTCCAAGATATATATTTTAATCTGCAGGTTTTTACGGATTTGCCAACATTAGCAGTTTAGCAATCTTATTTGATTATAATTGAATGAGAACACTTCTCTGTCATATACTATAAATACATATATAAATAAAACAATTATTAAAGTGCGTGATATAGTTGTCGGTAATTGACCCGCATGATACTGCAATTAGTGACGTTTACATCTCGCGTTTGGTGTCCTCCACTTCCCAAATCCAAAGGTTGCTCAGTGCCGTTTCCCTCCCAATCAGGAGGGGGTATGGGAACCATGTCTTCCCCCAAAACCAATATTTGTCATTTTACAATATTTATACAAAAAATTGCATCACATTTCTACGTAAAACTCCCATTACAAACACATTTTCTTTATTTCAAGCTAATATTTTTTTAAATGTCGGGCTTTAATTTTCGAGAGACGAACTGAAATTGTAGAGAGCAATAAAGGGTATTGAAAACTAATGATAACACATAAACCATCAGTGAGCATATTTTGTCATTATGTCGTATTGACTGATTATGTTGTTTCCGTTACCAGTGGTGGCCATCGCTTCCGCAATCGAGATGTGCTTCACTCCCTGAAAGTGGTGGTGTTCCTCCCCGCCTGGAGCGTGAGATCCCCGTCCAGGTCTCTCCCCCAGAAGGACACCGCTCCCCCCGGTCTAGCTCCAAGCTCCCGACTGGGTATCTGATACGTGTCTAAACGTAGGTAATGTAAGTGTGAGAGTATATTCCGTGGTTTCTGTAATCGTTACCGGGCGAATACCGGAGTAATAGTTTAACGAACGAGCCTTCCTTTACACTCACTTACGTGAACTACACTACCGTACGTGTCGGGACTACCGTACGTATCGTACATCCCAGCTGCTCTGTTTTTCTGTGGTTTCTCTATCAACGCCAGGTAAGTGCGGGTGTAATACCCTAACGAACGGGTCACGAACTGCGCGCGCTCTTTCCTTCGTTCATCTTTTCTTTCTTGTCTTGTCCTCTCCCCTACACACATTTACACTTTCATGCTCTACACTACTACACATGTCGGAAGACTAGTCGGCAGCTCAGAGCTCTTTCCGAGAGTAGCAGCATCCTGCTAGTGAGAGATACCTAGTTGGGGAAAATCGCGCAAACGTGTAGGTCGCGGCCATACTCACTATCCAGTGGAGGAAGATCACCGCCACATCACGTGATAAAATCATGTACTGTACTTACGGGACTTATGTCCATAGCAGATGACGCGCCCGGAAATGCCTAATAATCAATCAAACAAATTTACCGCAAGGATTTTCCCCCGGTGTTGTACAACTTCATTTACGAATTTATATAATCCTGAATACAATCAAATAGTACCAATAAATGACACAGAAAATACACAATCAATGCATCGTACCCGACTGCACACGACCTTTGAAACTCAACTGAAATAGCTATTTAAAATCTATCTTCTGAAGAAACTTTGTTTATTTCCAAAACAAATAGTGTCTGGAGGAAAATTTTAGCGGCCGGCTGCTCTGATCGGCAGTTATCCGTGGTTTCTCTGACCAACACTAGGCGCATCCCGGAGTACCCTAACAAACGGGCCACGGACCGTCCGCGAGCTCTCCTCCTCTTCCTTTCTCTATCCTCACCCCTTATATACACACTTACATTAACACACATTACCACACGGGGGGAGACCGGAGCTTAGAGCTTGTCCCGGCTAGGGTGGTGCCCCGCTGATTGGAGATACATGGTTGGGGAAAACCCCGCTAGTCGCTGGTAGGTCGGCGCCGGATAGATCACCGTCACCTCCCGAGCACAAAACCATGCATTACACTTATGGGACCAATGACCCTGGTAGTTTCTTCCTGGAACCCAGAATCACAAAACAATCAATGAAATCCAAAACAAATGCTTATGGATAACCAAAACCCTTTGGTCGATGCTCCCCAAAACACCCAATTATCAATCAATCAATCAATCAATCAATGGATCCAGCCAGGTGAGCTTCTTCGAGTGGGCGCGGCCCTCCGCGTGGCGCTGTGAGCCGCCTCGGCCGCCAGCGCCCCCAGCGCCGCCCCGACGCCCGCCGCTGCCAGCCTCAGCAGCGGCGCCGCGCTCGCCGCCCGAACGGGGCGCGAGGCGCCGACGGCGGTGGCGCCGCGCCGCGGGAAGCGCGCCAACCACAGACGCCGCAGCTGCCCTGACTCGCGCATCCGCGACAGCCTGCGCAACACCGGAACCAGGGCCTAGCAACTCTCTAACAAAGATGGAGGGCGCTGCGATTAGGGGCGCTAGTGTCGCCGGGTGCAGCTGCAGGTTAGGCTCGCCAACTTTGGCTAATTAGTGAGAAATACGGAAAGTGTCTTCTAAATGTTCAATTATTCGTAACATAAACATATAAGAAACCACTGAAGAAATCGCGAACATCGACGCTATCTTTTGTAACACTACGAACCTGCTTGCGTCTCGCAAACCCACGCAGCAGCCACGCACGTTTCAAGTATCGATGGTAGCAGTTCGTATTTCAGTTCCTGTAAGAAAGTGCTGTAGGAGGTCGCGCCACTGTAATGGTTTCCACCACGTTAGATAGGAGTTGTAACGCCCCGTAACGTTTGAACCATTTGGCTCAGGGACTCAAATTGGATCGAGAGGTAAATGGGTTCCAGTCCACATTCTGCTAAGGACTAATTAGATAGGCAGGGGGCATTCAGTCGCTGTCGAGAGAAGAATTCTAACGGCGAAATCACACATCTGTAGTTTTCAGTGATTTCTTCGAACAACACCAGGCGAAAGTTGGAGAAGTGTCCTAAAGAAACGGCTAGCGAAACGGGTCTTTCCTTCCTCTTCTTTGTCCTATCCTCACACCCGGCAGTCTCTGCGGTTGGGGAAGACCCCGCAAGGGCAGATACTTGAGGCTCGACAGAAGACAAGGGAGCGCTGGAGTGAGCTGCGCGAGGGAAGCGCAAAGACGATGTATCGGGACTAATGACCCTAGCAGTTGAAGCTCACCAGAAGTCGAGGGTTCATAAGAACGAGCTGCGCGGGGGGAGGGCGTAGATGAAGGCGTATCGGGACAAATGACCGTAGCAGTTGAGGGTCACCAGAAGTCGCGGGAGCACCGGAGCAGGCTGCGCGTGGGCAGGGCGAAGGCGAAGGCAATGTCGTACCGGGACAAATGGCTGTAGCTGTTGAGGCTCAGCAAAAGTCAAGGGCGCGGGGTCAATGCGTAGATACGATGTATCGAGACTAATGACCATATCAGTTGAGGCTCACCAGAAGTCGAGGGTTCACAAGAACGAGCTGCGCGGGGGCAGGGCGTAGATGAAGGCGTATCTAGACAAATGATCGTAGCAGTTAAGGCTCACCAAAAATCGAGAGTGCGTAAGAACGAGCTGCAAGGTGTAGATGAGGTCGCATACGGACAAATGCTCGTATCAGTTGAGGCTCACGAGAAGCCGAGGGTACGCTGGCGCTGGCTGTGCAGAGGCAGGGCATAAACGAGGTCTCATCGGGACTAATGGCCGTAGCAGTTGAGGCTCACCAGAAGTCGAGAGAGCGCCGGAGCGGGCTGCGCGTGGGCAGGGCGAAGGCGAAAGCAATGTCGTTTTGTGACAAATGACCGTAGAAGTTGAGACTGAGCAGAAACCGAGGTCGCGGGGAAGTGCGTAGATACGATGTATCGGGACTAATGACGTAGCTGTTGAGGCTCACCAAAAGTCGAGGACGCGCGGGGGTAGGGCGTAGATGAGTTGTATCGGGACTAATGACCGTAGCAGTTGAGGCTCACCGGAAGTCGACTGTGCGGCGGAGCGGGATGCGCGTGGGCAGGGCGAAGGCGAAGGCAATGTCGTTTTGTGACAAATGACCGTAGCAGTTGAGGCTGAGCAGAAACTGAGGGCGCGGGGGTAGGGCGTAGAAAAGTTGTATCGGGACTAATGACCGTAGCAGTTGAGGCTCACCAGAAGTCGAGGGAGCGCCGGAGCGGGCTGCGCGGGGGCAGGGCGAAGGCGAGGTCGTCGCGCAGAGCGGTGCGCGGCAGCGGACGCACGGGACAAGGCAGCGCGTGCAGCAGCGGCTCGGCGTCGAACGTGGCCACGAAGGCGTAGCGCGGCCGCTCGCACACCCACGCGAAGCCCTGCACCTCGTCCCGCGGCCACTGCCCGCCCTCGCCCCCGCGCCCCGCCACGTACCGCGCGAACAGCGCTGCCAGCGTCGGATCCTTGGCGTTCTGCGCAAGCAATTGCAGGCGACTTGCAATGGGTGTCTCTCCGGGCGTAAACTATATCTTATATTAAATAGAATTTAAAGTTTCATAGCAAATAAAGTTAAATAGCATTAAATTAAATAGCATTAAATTAAATAGCATTTAACATTTCTGTAAGTCAATAGAGTATTTTTTAATCGTATTGTGATTATCTATCTAAATAATGTTGTGATTTATATAGACTTAATAATATGACAACACAACTGAAGCATGGAAGTGGGACGCTGAATTCCCTCAATTCATCTCATTTAATATTCAAAAGAACAGATAACAAAGGAATACACATCTTTCTACACACGTTGTTGTCATTCTGAACCGCAAGGAAACATTTTTGAAACATTAACTGTCCCCGCGTGATTTGCCTTCTTATACCAAAGGGTTTCCTAGAAATTTTTGGGAAAAATGTTATTTTGGGACATTCACGTTTTGAAGGAACAGACCACCAAAGGAAGATACATACATTTCTACATACGATGGTGTCGTTCTGAACCGCAAGGAAACAGTTTTGAAATCTAATCTGTCCTCTAGTCATTTGTCTTGCTACAGTCAGCGACTTTCGTGAAAAATCTGGAACACATTTATGATTCGAGTGGGAAAACTGACATTTGGCAAGCAGGAGAGATGACAGCGTGATACCTAATGACCTCGTGTCGCAATCCTGGGAACAAAATAAAATCACTTTTACTACGTGTGACATACCCTATTTTCAGACAACCTTACGGGTTTTCATATTGAATTAATTCAAATATTCATTATTAATTCAAGTATACAAATTGCTTAAGCTCAGTAGTATATTATAATTTACTTGCATTTACAGTTTTATCCGTACACTTGAGCATCGTCTCATTTTTAGCAATGGTGCTAAAAAATTTAACTTTTTCAACACTAAGCCAGCACGTAAAGTTTTTTCCCATCGGCACTACAAAATATTTGCTCTTTCAGCGTTGATAACACATGTTGTTGCCCTAGGTCCGTAAAAGTGCTAGATGCATCTTTAGCAAACTCATTGTTACAATTCCATTTCTACATTCAATTTTGTAGATAATTTTGCAATATTAACGTAAAATAAACCTTTTTATTCGTTATTTATCACCTTATGTTTTTTGTAATCTGCTCTTTCCTCTGATTTAGGTATAAAAAAAAAGTAGAGACTAAAATGGAAATGGATACTGAGTGATTTACTGGAATTGAGTGATTTTGATTGAGTGATTTTTGGGTGACGCCGGTCGCGAAAACTGCTACGGCGATTAGTTCCGTACGTGTAGTGACCATACACAATGTGTATTGATACAATATAGTGTTATAAATATAAAATGATATGAAATAACCTATTAACCTACAACTCCACTGTATTAATATACAGAACTATAATACATTTATTATTATATGCTTGCCCAATGCGAGAGAGAGAATAGAGGAGAGAGTAAGAGAGATAGTGAGAGAGATAGACAGAGAGAGACAGTGAGAGAGAGAGAGAGAGAGAGAGAGCAGTCGGGAGCTCAGACCTTGTCCCGGCTTAGGCGATTCCCGACGTTGGGAGATATCTGGTTAGGGAACACCGGTGGATAGGTCAGCACCGGATTTCACCATTCAGCTGACGAGGATTACTCCCCCCCCAAACCCCTCGATGAAAATATTCACTACACGTACAGGACTATTAGCCATATCAGTTAAAGCGTCACCGCCCGAGGCACGTCAGAGTATATAGATGAGTGAATTAAGCACTAAAGGAATGATTGAGTGAGTGTGTGGATGTCCGAATGAACGCGCTAATACACGCGGCCGTCCTCACGCTGAGCACGTTGTGCACCATGGTGTCGGCGAGGATGCCCAGGTCGTAGGAGCCGTCGCGCAGGAAGCCGCCGAAGGTGGCGAAGGGCAGCGGCGCGCGCGAGGCGGCCAGCAGAGACACGCGCGCGCCCGCGAAGGCGACACACAGCGGAAGCGCCGTCAACGCCGCGCCCAGCGCCACGGCGCGCACGCGCC